TAAAGGGTGGGTGTCTAGAGGATGGGGCCAGACTCTTTTCAGTGGTGCCCAGCAGCCAGACAAGAGTCAATGGGCACAAACTGGAACACAGGAAGTTCCATCTGAACATGAGGAAAAACTTCTTCACTTTGAGGGTGTCAGAGCACTGGGACAGGCTGCCCAGAGAGGTTGTGGAGTCTCCTTCTCTGGAGATATTAAAAACCTGCCTGGACGTGATCCTGTGCAACCTGCTCTAGGTGATCCTGCTGTAGCAGGGGAGTTGGACTAGATGATCTCCAAAGGTCCCTTCCAACCCCTAACAATCTGTGAATCTGTATATAAAACAATCAAAAATGCTGATATGGCAATGTGTGAATGATTGGACCAAGAGTGCTCCCTTCTGAGAGGAATGCCACTGGCCTCTGTTGCGTGAGTCTCCCTTTTATCTTTTCCTCTCCTCGGACTTGTAAACCTTACATTCTTTGCTTTGTGGTAGATCTGCTTCAAGAAACAGAACAGAGAATTCCCCATAGTCAGACATATAGAATAGCCTAGTAAAGGAGCATGGTCCATGGATTTGGGGCTTTCCTATATGTTGGCAGACCTGTGTCAGGTATCTGTGCAAAGTCTTCTGACTCTGGTTTTTTAAGCACCTTGACCACAGGCAGTTATAAATTCAGCACGTGGGAGTACTGAGTTGTACTGCTAATATGCATAAAATCCATATGTAGCTGTTGGATAGATAGTTCTCTAACGTGGACACTGTGCAACTCTTTCCACTGGTGGCACAAACAAGGTACCTATGTCAGGCTCAAAAAATCATCCTGCCAGAACCTGGAGCTGTTAGAGCCCCAACACCTAAGCTTGCCATTGGTAGCAGGTGATCTAAAGCCACTACTTAGACCTTATAAGTGACTAAGATGTCTCCAAAAATGTTATACCTTGCTTCTGACACTTCTAAGAGATTTTTCCATGGTTTCTTCATTGCCATAAGGAGATTCTGTCTCTGTTCCAAAAGAATGCATTTTGTTTACTTTTAGAAACAGGTGCTGTTTCTATCATGGTCATCAGAAATAGCAGAAGGTCCTTAAAGTGTTGTAACCCAGTTAGTATTTAGAAAGAACTGTTACTCTTCAGAGGCACAAGGCATTTCTTTCACAGGGGAGTATGAAATGTCAGTCATAGTAGTAGAATAGCATGAGGCTGTAGGTAGGATGGTTCATATGATTTCCATCCTTTTCCCTTTTCTGATTTTAGAGGAATTTGTTTATTTTTATCCCTGAGAGGGAACAGAGAACCTGGAAAAGTACGTGAGGGACAAGGAGGACAATGTCACTAGGCAAAGAAATGTTTTATGCATTATTTCTTGTACTGCACCTCACCAATGACTCTCTTAAATCTTCTCCTAACTTTATTCTGATTGAGGGATCCTCTCTTTTGATTGAGGTGTCCTCTCTTTCATTGCATGGAATTTTCTTTTAGAGGCTATTAGGGTGAATTCAAAGATGCTGGAGTCTAGGACTA